TGTCATTATAATCGGATGTGTTTACCTGCCACCACAATCGACTGTAGAGATATACGACAACCGTATGGCTACAATATCATGTATAAGGGATAAATATTCAAATAATAAATTGTTAATCAGGAACGATTATAATCTCCCAAGCAGCTGCCCACATAGCGACTGTGAGAACAGTGAATAGGGTGAAATGCTCCTGGCAGATTGTCAACAATACAATGAGATTCGTAATATAAACAATGATACTCTTGATTTGTGTTTCAGTAGTACAGTCTTGAAAGTGAGTAAAGCAGAAGCTTTCTTTATTGAAGATAAATATCATCCAGTGCTGAGTATTCATCTTGATATCAAGACTAACCTCAAAACAAACAAGGTACCAACTTAAAACTTCAAAACAGCTGATTATATGGAACTTTAGTTTCTTTCTGAGAGTAAACTGGATTGAACTATACAAACTTGAATCATTGAATGATAAGGTTATTTGGTTTTAAAGAAAAATCAATGAGGGAATTGAACAATTTGTTGAAATAATATGAAAAATTATTCTTGCTGTGTCACCAGAGAATTAATAAACAAAATAAATCTAAAAAAGAAGCACATACATAAATAAACAATCAACAGCACATTATGCTTATAATCATTTCCGAGAGCTAAGACTGGAATGTAAAAAAGTTGGTGAAAAATGTTACAAGAATTATATATCAAGAACAGGGAAAAGATAGACAGATGCCAAACAATTCTGAAATTTTATTGAAAATAAGAGACGAAACGTTCAAGACATCCCATCAACTATATCATGGAATGATGTTATGGCTAAAAATGGTCGTGAGGTGTGTAACCTTTTTTCATCATTTTTTGAAAGCATTTATACAAACAGGTCTGATGATATATCTACGTCAGTTATTCGGAATGAAGAGATACTAGTTAAACAAGACATCAATCTGTCCGAACTGAATGTCCAATATGATGATGAGTTTGAGCAATTGTGTAAACTAGATGTTATAAAAGGAGCTGGATCTGATGGGATACCCTACCTGTTTCATTGGACTGTGCTGCTGGACTTGCAGAACTTACGTCTTTAATAAATGTCTGGAATCTGGCATATTCCCAATGCAGTGGAAATTTCATATATTACACCAATATACAAATCAGGATCCAGATCTAATGTGACCAACTACAGACCAATTTGCATTCAGTCTTCCATATCCAAATTATTTGAAAAATTTATTTTACCACGGATAACTTTTCTCATCTAAAATATTATATTGACAAAACAACTTTTTTTTTTCTCCAGGCTGATCAACCACTACCAACCTCTACATATATGTAAATGATGTGTTTGATGGTATGAATCGGGGGACAGATGTACACACAGTCTATTCGGACTCCAGCAAAAATTTTGATAAGGTAGATCATGATATGTTGTGCAAAAAATTGTGTCGATACGGTATACAAGGCAGAGCACTGGACTGGTTTCTTACATACTTGACAGAGAGATATCTACAGGTTTGGGTAAAGGGTCACATCTCTATGAAGTAACCTCCAGTGTTCCATAAGGCTCACATCTGGGACCAATCCTATTTAACATGTTTATTAATGATATCGGAGACAAAGTCAAATAAAAATATTTGTTATATACTGGTGATTTGAAAATTTTGAGAAATATAAATAATTAAGACAACATTATATTCTTCAACAAGACATTACCAAACTGAGCAAATGGTGTATTGAAAATAAGTTGAAATTGAATGTGAGTAAGTGTGCGGTAATGTCTTTCTCCTGTTCACTCCATCGGCGATCTATGGACGTTTAATTCGGTATGGTTGACATCCTGATTGGCTAAAGGTTCTTTGTTCTTGTAGTGATAAAATCATTTGCATAAATGCTTTCAAAATACAGTGCAAATAAATTGCTCACTTCACTTAGATGTTTTGCCATTGTTTCATTGTATAACATTGTTGATGAAATACTTAGATTGCTTCGTTTCTTATTTTTGATAAATTTCCAGAAATGGTTGCATATGTTTTCATCTTCTCCTCAGTTCTCGATATATAACCATAATAACATGTTATTATTATTATTATTATTATTGTTAAAATTAATATTATTATTTTATTATTATTGTTTTTTTTTTAATTTTAACCTCGGTTTTCAGAATTAGTTGTATGTGGCATTGTTCTTTTGTTCTTGACTTTCAATAATTTGTATGTGCTCCCCCCTTTTTTTTGATGTTTTGTATTAACTTTTTGGAAAACCAGCAGGAATAATTTTTCATATTATTGTGTATTAGGACAAATCAAAATCCCTTCATTATTTTACAATAAAATCGGTTAACCTTACCATCCACTGATTCCAAATTATGAAGATTGACCCAATTTCTTCTCAAGAATAAACTTTTTAATTCCTAGTAATTTGGTGTTTTAAAATTATATGTTGGTGCTTTATTTATTTTAAGACTAGTTTTGTATTACTTGGTGCTAGATGGTGTTTATCTTCATCTATTATAGCTTGTTTTTCTGATTCACATTTGCACCACTAAAGCATAGATCAAGAATTTAATTATTTAATTTACAAATTTCATTTAACTGTTGACAGTTATTCAAGAACTTCTCACTAAATAAAATACGTTCAGTCTATACCAGGATAACTGCTGAGGAGGTTATAATTACCCCATGATCAATAACTCACATTTGTGGTGTATTTGAAATAGTCGAGTTTAACCATGATTCACTTACACATAAAATGCCACAATTGTAGCTTGCAGTAGAGGTTAAAAAATCCTTCAGCTTAGTTCTCAGACCTCTAGTGTTCTGATAGTAAGTGAGTAGTTTATTTTCCTTTGTACTTCTCTTTTTGCATGCAAAAAGATTGCTTGTTTACTATTTTTGGTATGCCATTTATTTAATGGTTTATCATTAATATTTTTTGTTGATTTGTCGGAAGTTGAAGTTCTGGTTCTGAACATAGAGCATTGAGATGATTTTTGAGCTTGAGTAAGATTTGGCTTAAATACAATGTTCATTTCACTGGTCGGTTTGATCTTTAACAAGGTTCTAGCTTCAGTTATCTACAAAGTTTTAATTAGTAACGGGTGAGTTTTACCTGCTATTGGTTGACCAAGCCACCGAAGTTTAAAATAGTACAGTTTCTGATATCTCCTGTGGAATAAGGATTCTCATTTTCTCATAATCATCTTGTCTCTGATTAGCTCCCTCTGTTTTTTCAGACTCCAATACATTGAAAACAATGACTTCAGTTTCATGCTTTTTATGTTCATTTCTCATATATTAAGTTTTGAAGATCACTTGGGGAATCATTGACTTGGATGTTCAGGTCTGAGAGCACATTTTCCCTTATCTCTTCTATTGGTCATTATCAAAAACCTTCATATATGCCCATCAGGTATTATGAACTCATTCAGAACCACTAATTCAATTTAAATGTTCCTTCTGAAATTTTCTTCTGTGATTTGTATCAGTTTTCATGAGTTATTTGTGGAGGCATATTTTATAATTTATGGAAGATATATCTGCTTTCGCAAATGGTAGTTAGTTTCTTGTAATCTACGTCTTGTTGTTGGTGGATAGAAAATTGAGCTTTGAGAAATCAAAGCTAGCCTCAATATTTTTGATCAATGACATTTTAAACTAAACAGATTTAGCAAAAAGTTTGCTATTCATGAAGAAATGTATCTAATATTCTGTGCTGTGGGCTCCGGTTTTTTGTTTTAAACAACTTAGACAGTTATAATCAACTTTAATAAAAATATATATCTTTTCCGTTATGAACAAAAAAATTTCAATAATTTTCCTTCTTCAAATAAAAATTTGATGTAAAATTTTAGTGCTGAGTAAACATGTAGTAATTTGTTAACACTTTGCATCCTAACCTTTGCACTTCTTGCATACTGCAGCACATGCGGACATTTCTGACTATAAAGTTAACACATACTTTTTCTTACCTGTGCACATTTCAGCAATGTTTAATACATATTCAAAAAGAGGAATGTTTGGGCTTTAAAATGGTATCAAAATATTGCACAATTTCTGCAAAGACTTGATATTTTCTGAAAATTAATAAGAAAACAAACTATTAATATTTTCTTTTCATTTTTCAATCATAATTAGCTTTAGTTTGATGCAGTTTGAAACAACCTGGAACTCAGAGAGCCACAAAGCATCTCATAGTTTTTTCTGTGAATTAAATCACAGTTGTGCACAAATGTGACAAAAAATGGCCATTCGGACTCAGGTCTGGGCAGTGAAGGTCACAGCCTTGTGATCATTTATTTCTTTTTATTCATTGTGGTCTCAAAATAGTCCAGAAATCCAACACAACACGCTCTGAGTAAGGTCTTCATAATGCCCAAACTGCGAGTAAAAAGTGTTACTCCGTAGAATAAGTGCAAAAACAAAATGACTAGCTGTGCTCGGCTTGAGATGCTGGGACCATAGGGTGTGGCGTAACTTGGGTTTGGGCTTGAAAGTGTTAACCGATGCAAACTAACATGACATTTTGCCCTAATTCTGTTTTTGCTTGTAGTTTGTGAGCTTTCTTTCTTTCTTGGTGCATTCTATCAACTGTCTGCTATTACAGTCCTTGCGCAATGAGCTAATGCTGATACTGGAATGAGAAGGTTTTTGGTAGGTGTCCTATCTATGATCTTTGTGTCTTGCAAATTCATTCTCAATGAGGTGGAAAAAAGAATTGAAGGTTTTTGAACAGGTGTTTTTATTGCAGCCAGTTGTAATGTTCCTAAAATTGTAAACTACTAGTTACTTCTAACATTTATTTACATGTTTGTGATGAGTACAAAATTCAGTGGGGAATTTAAGAATATGCTGAGCCATCTTCACAACTAAATATATTAAGGGCTTCCTATACAATACAGCTCTGTAGCAAGTTCTAACATTAATAGGTTATTCAATAATCGCAATAATATCGCAATAAAAAAATGAATTTCAATTTGTGTGATACAATTGTGAGTGATTTTTTTCTTCTTTCAGATAAAACCTCAAGGAATAAAAGTGCGTTCGATATCTCTAGATAGTGGATACAAAACTCCATCTCCATTTCTGCAGGTAAGAGGCAAAGGAGAGGAGAAGGGAAGATAATTGAATTCAAATGTGAAAGGTGATTTGATTAACCTATTACAGATCAATTTGGTTTCATGACATCCTTCAAAAGGAGGGAAGTTAAAAATTTTGAAAACGTAATGTAACCCTCCTTTAATAATACGGTTATGTGACTTCTGGAGCGGGAATGGGATTTTCAATAATAAAAGACATGACACTTTGTTAACAAACATTTACTAACTAAAATGATGTGATGGTTTACACATGATTGATAGTAATGATAGGGATGACCTTATTTTAAATAACTTTGATATTTGTTTGACTCGATATAATAAATCAATCAATGGGTGGCCACCTCAGTGAGTCATGACCATGACGGCTTGGGACTGTGCAGCCTGGTGCGTACATTGTTGCCTGCATGTCATTTGACGAGCTGTGAATTCCTACAACCCAGCATTCTGAGAGCATTCAAACTGCAAATCAGATTAAATTTTCTTTGCAAAAGAGGCTAGCTCTTCTTTTCTTAATACATTTTTGTTCATTATAATTCTGCTATTGATGAATTTTCAAGCAGTGACGAATTAAATTATTATTCATGGTTGTGCCCCTAGATCACCTGAACTAACCTCAAGTAACATTTGTCTTTGGGCCAATGGCAAGGACAGGTGTATGTAGAGAACCCTCATTTGGATGCTTAAATCAAGGAGAAAATGACACACGATTTGCTCAAAAAGTAACAAAATATGTTTTGAAAAGACCAAGAATGTTTTGAGCCAACTGGCACTCAATCAGCATCTATAAGTTTAGTGCTGCCGAAGCGGCCGGCAACTCCGCAAGGGGCCTGAGTCAGTATGTGGGTGCTTCTGTAGGTGACATTTCAGACTTTTCTGTGACAAGTAAGTTGTCTGTATTAACTCTAGCAATACCATGTTATAGAAGGGATGATGTATTGGCCAATTTGGGAAAGGGTGCCTGGAACTCGCCTTAAATTTTGATTTTGTTTGTGTTCTTAACAATTTTTTTAAATGAATAAATTTAGTTATCAAATAACTTATTTGTGTATTTGTTTAAACAGAAAATATTTAGGTTTGGGATCCGAAGGAGGGGAAAAATAAAAAAAAAGATTTCTTGCATCAATATTAGTCTTTAATAACAAAATCTATTACTAATTACATTTGTTCAAAGAATTTTTTACCCTGATGAGGACTTGAACTTGGTTCTGGTTTACGCCCAGTAGCTACAACCATAAAGGTACCGTTATTGCCAATTTTTGTGAACAGTGAACTAGGTCTATGATGATGTACATAATTGTCAACACCCTGTTACTTTTTTTGGATGCAATTATGCTAGGAAATATGTTCTGCAATAGTTCTATACTGTTGGTATAAAAAATAATATTTTTTGTATAATATTTCATCAGAAGCCATTTTTAAGTTTTAAACAATTATTTTTTCAAAAACTGCTCCAAATTGTTTCTTTAAATGGAAAAAATTTGGCAGAAGACAGTGAGTGTCGTTACGAAGCTCTATGTTATTGGTTTGTTGTTGCGGTGGAAGTATTCTAAACCTTGATTTTTAGATGTAATTTTGTACGAAGGAAATGTCATACTGCAGATGTGAATACACGTGATCAGTTTTTCCGATTACGTGAGTGTTTTCAAAACTCCTGATATTTCCTAACCTCCAAATTATAAAGTCACGTGAGTAAGCAATATTTTATTTTATGATCGATCAAATTGAATCACATCGAGCTGATTAATAATTGCTTATATACGGAAGTACGTCTCTTTTAGGTGGTATCCGATTTCTGTGGGAAATTGGGCATTTTGGCGATGATTTATATCTGTTGATTTGAGCTCTGGCTTATGAGCGGAGGAGTTGAAAGCACTGTCGTTGTGTGTAAATTCTGCAGCAAATCCGTTTCTAAATGCACTTTTTTTCGTGTGAACTGTAAGTCCTATCATCCAAGCTGTGGTGAAAGAGTACGAATTAATACAAAATTGGAAGAATGTCAGTGTTGCTTAACTGAGGTAAATATAGAGGCTTAACGAATTAGTTCGAATTCTCAAGTCAGAGCTAGAAAAAAAACACTAGAGATCTGAGTGATAATATAATTTCCCTGAAAAGAAAGCTACCTGAGGAACAAAGAGAAGGCTTAGAAGGTATGAAAAATGATATTGGAAGGATTTCAGATACAATACAAAATCTTATGGCACAAGTGCAAGCGTGCAAGAGTGAACGCAAACAATTAGAGGCAAAATGCGACAAAATAGACCTCACAGAATGACACATAAGAAAATTTCAGAAATCATGGAGAATTTTGTATGGTATCCATATTCTTCATCAGCTGAGTTTCATCTTGGAATAATTAGAGAGATTGAAGAACGTGACCGGCGTAAGAAGGTCATCATTTATGGGGTAAAG